TGGGCTTCCCTTGCTTGCTTTTGGACGTCCCCACTCCCTCACAAGAAGTCCAGAGTCCCTCTTGGGTGCTTGCTGTGATGGAGTAAGTTGAAGCTGCCTTGTCTTGATCATGTGGTCACGAGAGGCTTCCAGAGAAAATGTACCCAGTCAACACCTTCCCTTGGTTTCCTGCCCATCCTTCAGTGTCACAGGTACCCAGCCACTCCCCCTCCCCACACCCCCAGCATGCAGGAACCAACTCAGCAGCCCCTCGTTTGTTTATTTATGTAACTGCTTGTTCGAGTTCCACACGTGTTACTCATCAGCTGTAGAGCCCCGCTGTCCATCTGCAGGACAGGGCAGAGCAGCTGGTCAGACCAACTGGGTTTCGACCTGGTCAGAGAGAAGCCGAGCCTGTATTAATTCACTGTGCCCACAGCCTGGCATCAGCAGGGGCACTGCGTCTGTACACGGACGTAGAGGCCTTGTGAAGGATTGGATTTGCAAGCCCCTCCTGTTCCCTCTAAGCTGTAGAGTCTTGTGAGCAAAAATTCTACTCTGTGAGCTACTGACATTAAGGTTGTGAGCGAGTGATTTGGTTACTGCATGAATTAGTATGCACTGGAGCCATCCTTCTTGAGCTAGGACAAAACTGTGAGCCGGAGGCTAAAAAACTGTGAGCTAGCTCACACTAACTCAGCTTAGAGGGAACACTGGTTCCCTCTGTTTGGCCCCCAGGAGGGGGGCTGTGCCCCCCCCCCGCCATTCCAAGTCTCTGCTGAGCGGCACCACCCCTTTCCCCAGGTTCTCCAGGGGTGTCAGAAACAAACTGAGTAACTCCCGTTACCACTAGTGATTCTGAGAGTGTCTCGTGCTTCACAGACTCGCCCATCTGGCACTCAGTATCTGTGCTGCAGGCTAGAGGGTTCTGCCCAGTTGCTACACTCCTGCGAGCCAGCATTGAGGCAGACCTTGCAAGGAGGGCGGGTTATAAATTTAAATAAATAAATAAATCTATCACACCGTTGCAATGTCATGCTCTCATGCTCCAAGGGATGGCGGGCTTATCTGCTGCCTTTCCCTGTAAGTAGCAAGACCACAGAGGTTTGTTGTGTTTCCGGATATCGGGCTTAGAGCATTCAAAATATAAGAAAGTTTAATAAAATAATAAAAGGATACATGTTTTCTTTTCCAGCCTTCATGCTGAGCAAGGGAACAAAGAAAAGGTGAAAACACGCAGCGCCCTTTCCCCACACTTGGAAGTTAACCAAAATGATGCTTAATTAAGACAGGCCAACTTTACTTGATGTAGTGGTTGACAGTTCAGCATTACCTTCGTTATCATGGCTGGGCCTTCTCCCCATTTTCCCCGGCATTCCATCTTGTAGGTCAGGATGGAATCATAGAATCATAGAGTTGGAAAGGACCTCCAGGGACCTCTAATCCAACCTCCTGCATAGTGCAGGAAATTCACAAATACCTCCCCCTCCACACCTGCAGTGACCGCTGTTCCACACCCAGAAGGTGACCAAAAAACTCTATAGGGTTGCTTCCTGAGTAAAAACTTAGTCCTTCATGACTTGTGCTCCCAAGTCAAGAGCAAAGTGGAAGAGCGCATCCTCTCTGTGTCCGGAAAATGTATAATCTACCCTGGGGAGTCTGTCCCACCTTCCTGCCTCAAGAAACAGAACGTATTCTAGCCAATTTGGCAATTTCCCTCTCTGTCCCTGGGTGTGTCACCTCCTCACAGGTTGTTGGGTGACAGACTCCTGTCTTGCTGTGGCCAGAGTCGTTAACACAACCAGGAACTTGCAGGTTGTGTGCTGGGAGCTCTGTGGCTCCTTCCTTCAACTCACTCCTTCAGCCAGCTGGAAGTCCGTAGCTGGGTTCCTGCTCATGGACAGAGTGTAGTCGCAATGACTGGAATACTGGGGTAAGTCCTTGGGCGGAAGGCGCTTTTCCACAGCCCAAATCCCCTTGCTTACTGGCTGGCAAGTCTGTGTTCTCTTACAAAGTAAATGAGAGTTGCGAGGGGAGAACTCTGTCAACTTTTCCTGAGTTCTGGCTTTTGAAATGACATTTCTTTCCACAGAGCTGGAATGTAAACCCGCCATTCGCCAGCCTCCTGATTCGACCCTCTGGGACCCCCGTGGAGCCTGTGTGAAGGTGGAGCCTACTCCCGATCGTGTCAGGGAGCTTGCCGATGAGGATGGAAATGCTTCTCCCTCAAGAATGGCTTCCGTTATCGTGACTTCTGAGTCCGCTGGCTGCCCCACCGTGGCTCCTACTTGTGGTGAAGGTTTGCAGAGCTCCTCTGTATCCCGTCTGGCCCCTTCCCTTGGCCAGACGCCAGCATGCCGTCAAGCCCAGAGTTCCTCATCACCGAGCGGATCGTGTTTGCTCAGGTCCGTGAAGCAGGAGACGTGTGCAAAGACCGTCGATGCGGACGCAGGCAGAAGGCTCCCGAGCGGAGAAGAGATTCCCTCCCTTTGTCCTCTGCCGCCTCGTGGTCCTGCCGGCGTCGCTGATGACCCTGAAGAGAGAGGCTTTGGGGGAGGGCTTGCACGTGACCTGGGCAGGAGCAGGGGGCAGACAGACACCAGCAGCGGCACCCAAGGAGATGCAGGGGTGGGCACGGGGATGAGTGCTGGGCCCTTGCTGGCCGTTGGGGCGGGTGGTAATCGGGTGCCGGCTTTTAGCCCTCTGGTCCAGGAAGAAGCTCCAGTCTTGATCCGGATGCCCATTTTGTCTTCGGTTTCTTGCCTCGTTAAAGAAGAGCCCGATCCGTGTGATTCCCACGTGCCGGTCGTGGGCTCCGGCCCTTGTGGGGGTTACCCCACCGCTCGTTCTCCGGTCATGCCGGTTTTGCAGAAGGCCAGCATTCCCGAGGCCTCTGAGAACTGGGTGCCGGAGAGTCCTGTGGGCTGCACGAAGGAAGAATGGCTCCTGGAGGAGGCGGAGGCACCCGGGCAGCTAGACACCACCTGCGTGCCGTCAGGGGATGAACGCGCTCTGTGCATGGAAGCCGAGGAAGGGCGCTCTTCTGCCTTGGCAGTCAGTCCCGGTGTGTCTGGGCCTCCACCCTGGCATCACCCTTGGGCTTACGGAGGCGGCTCTGCTCAGGACACACGTGCCAGCAGTGCAGTGGGAGCAGACAGCAGCCCTAGGAGACCCTGGGCGTCCTCGGAGCAAGAGATCGCGTTTCAGCTGCAAGAATGCCAGTCCGTGCTGGAAGAGATCTCACGGTCCCTCTGTGCCGTAGAGGGGATCGATCAGCTGCACATGGAGAAGTGGAGGTAAAAGTGGCTCGGGGGGGGGCCCGGGGGGGGGGGGAATGGGAGCTGCTGCAAACCTTCATTGTGCAATACGGCTTCTTCTCATGTCATGCTGTCAGCTCGGCAGCTGCCGTGAACTGGGGGGGGGTGTGCTGAATACTGGATAAGATCGTCTCTCTCTGTTTCTCTGGGATGCTTAGTTTCGCTTCTCCCTGCATCCTTATCGTCCGTTAGTCTGAGCTGGTGACCTTGGTACCTTGTTACTCCTTTTCCCTGGGAATGCCTTCCCGTTAGGTTAGGCGGGCTTTTGCGTGACTCCCGATTGGCCCCGAGCCACCCCCTGACCCTTTTTGATTTCTGTATATCACTAGCTTACGCACGCTTGCTTTTTAGTCTTGACACAATGGATGTAGGCTCAGAAGACCTGCCTTTACTGTACTCAATAAACGCGACTCCCTTGAAGGAGTGTTGTTGAGATCTGATTGCCACGGGACTCTGACACATGCACATAAGAAGCTGTTTCTGGCAGATCCCTGTGAAAGCATCAGTGATTCCATAGGGTGGGGACCACAGTGGGAAAAAGATGGGCAGGCTGCCCTGAGGGGGGGGGGACAGTTAACAGGTGGCAACCTGAAGATTGTAGTTGGCACACAGGGAAACACGGGAGGAGGGGGGGAAACGAGAGGGGGGAGAGAAAAACTTAACCCCCTAAAAACCCTTGAATTAAAAACCAAAAGGTTTTTTAAAAATTTAATTACGGGGCTAAATAATGTCTCTACAAAAAACATATGTTTCTGGCAGATCCCTGTGAAAGCATCAGTGGTTATCAGACTGTAGACGGGCACACCCGCGCTTCTGGTTTTGTGGTTTGGCTGCCTGTCTTGACCTGCCTGTGGCGTTGGTGGCACCTGGAGGGGTGGAACCAGGGTGGAGGGATACCTGCTTTGGATGTGGAAGGTCGCCGGTTCCGTCCTTGCCTCCCTCGGGCAGGTGGGGCAGCGCAAGACATCTCTCAGCCCAGAGAGCCGCTGCTAGCCAGAGGAAACAAGGCTGACCTGGGGAGACCTGAGGACCCTGTTGGGAGAAAGCAAGATATACATATACAAAAATACATGAATTTATTACAATAAGGTTAAAAACAGCTATAGGCCCAAATAATAACCTCAACTCAGAAGAAGAGATTGGATTTCTACCCTGCCGGAGAAAGCAAGAAGCCTGTGTGTTTATACTTTACTTGTTTTATTAAAATGCTTAGAGTCTGCCTTGTGGCTCAAGGTGGCTTGTGAAGTCTAAATAAAAAGGATAATAAAACCCCAAGTAAACACACACCCCCGCTTCCCAAATGTCTACAGCTCAAACCTCATTAAAAGTTATAATAAATAAAGTGACCTTGAAGGACCTCTTTAAAACATCTAGGGATTGCCCCCTCCCCACTCTCTCAGGGAGCCCGTTCCGTGGGATGGGGACTACAGTGGGAAAAAGAGGGGCAGGCTGTGCTGAGGGGGGGGGGCAACAATTAACAGGTGACACCCTGAAGATTGTAGTAGGCACACAGGGAAACACGGGAGGAGGGGGGGGTCCTATAGAACCTATACCTATAGAACATATACGACCCTGACCATACGTGCTTCGGCCAACTGGCCTCCTTCCGTGGTCAAGCATAATTTATTGCACATTAGCTTCCAACATTGCAGTCATAATCCAATAGTTTCTGAAAATTGGAGGAAATATAAATTGTTTAATGATCAGTGCACGGTCTTATAGAACCTATGCCTATAGAACATATACGACCTTGACCATACGTGTTTCGGCCAACTGGCCTCCTTCAGTGGTCAAGCATAATTTATTGCACATTAGCTTCCAACATTGCAGTCATAATCCAATAGTTTCTGAAAATTGGAGGAAATATAAATTGTTTAATGATCAATATATGTGTCACCCAAGGCAGAGAAATAATTCAGAGGCCTCAGTTCAGAATAACGACCTGCCCCGATGAGGAACACGTGTCTTAAATGGTGATCCAGTTGTGTTAACCTCTCTTTCCTGGTCCGAAGAAAAATCCTTCACATGCAGAATGGAGCCAGTACACTCTACGTTCTGTGAGCTTATGAGCCAGATGTAATTGAAAGAATGATATGCATAATCCTGGCCTCGTAGACTCCACATACTGATTTTCCCGTTTCTTTCTTTTTAAGGTTGTGTTAACCTCTCTTTCCAGGTCCGAAGAAAAACCCTTCGCATGCAGAATGGAGCCAATACACTCTACATTCTGTGAGCTTATGAGCCAGATGTAATTGAAAGAATGATATGCATAATTCTGGCCTCGTAGACTCCACATACTGATTTTCCCGTTTCTTTCTTTTTAAGGGAGCAGATTGCAGAGCTCCAGAAGGCCACGAAACCGCCCAGCACCTACGTCGCAGTGGTGGGGAACACGGGGGCAGGGAAGAGCAGCCTGCTGAATGCGCTGCGGAGGCCGCGCTGCCCACCTCGGCCATGAGGGCCTGCACGGCGGTGGTGGTGGAGGTCTCCAGGGGCGCGGGAGGCAGCCCGTACGAGGCAGAGGTGGAATTCCTCTCGCAAGAAGTAAGTGAGTGGTCGGGTTAGAACGGATAAAAGGAAGTCCTTCACCCAAAGAGTGATTAACACTTGGAATTCCCTGCCCCAGGAGGTGGTGGTGGCTACAAGCACGGACTGCTTCAAGAGGGAATTGGATAAGCATATGGAGCAGAGGTCCATCAGTGGCCCCTATTAGCCACAAGGTATAGACAGTATGGCTCAAGTGGTTAAGACACTGAACTGCAGACTGGGAGGTCAGTAGTTCAGCAGTTCGAGACCCGAGTGCCGCATGACGGAGTATAATACATTGATGAATACATCAAAGAGAATTTTCACTTATAGGAACAGATAGGGAAAGGACTTGTCAACAGCTATCCTGGATGGTATCTGGGTTAAGCTAGGCCTGGATATTGCGAAGTTTTATTTAGACATAGGTGTGAGGGAACAATTGCGTATAGAGGGTATAGCACCTGGATAGAGTAGCAAAAGCAACGCCGTCAGCCTCTGAAATCTGTTGGAAATGTAATAACCATACTGAATTCCTTTCCCCACCTATGTCGGCAGTGTCCAATTGCTAAAATATTTTGGGTCGATGTATCTAAGGGCTTGGAGGAAACAGTAAAAGAAAAGACACCCATGTGATTATTGAGTTGCTCCTCTGGGCCCCCCTTCCCCCCCAAAATTGTTAAAAACAAAATGGATCACCCGGCACAGAGATCATGGCTGCTTGCCCATGGAGGTGTGCTTTGTATTCAGCAAAGCACACCTCCATGTTCCGGATTGCAAGACTAGATCTAATGGGTGGAAATGACAAGGGAGTCGTTACCGGCTAAATATCAGGAGAAACTTCCTGACTGTCAGAGTGGTTGAGCAGTGGAACAGGCTGCCTCGGGAGGTGGTGGGTGCTCCTTCACTGGATGTTTTCAAGTGGAGGCTGGATGACCATCTTTCGGGTGTATTGTAGGGCTATTATCATTCAGCTCTGCTCCTGCAGAGTGCAGGGGGTTGGACTAGATGACCTGCAAGGTCCCTTCCAACTCATAACATTCTATGATTCTTAATAGTGTGCCTTTCTTTCTTTTTTGTTTATACTGATGTTTCATGGCTTGGTATTGTTGGGGTGGTCTTTTTCATGTGTTAGGAAGGGAGCGCATGCCTCTTCCTCCTTTGCATTTTCACATTGAGCAGCCTTGGTGTTGCTGCTGACGCCCCCAAAATTAAGGGTTTTTATTGTGGGGGGGGCAGCATCCTAGCACTCTCACTACATTACAGCAATATGAGTGGCAAGTGAGTTTTTCCTCCACTCTTTTGATTAGTGTTTGAGAAGTTTCCTTCCCTCTAGCATTAAGAAGAAGAAGAGGAGATTGGATTTATACCCCGCCCTTCACTACCCGAAGGTGTCTAAGAGCGGCTTACAAACTCCTTTCCCTTCCCCTCCCCACAACGGACACCTTGTGAGGTAGGCGGGGCTGGGAGAGCTCTTTCGAGGACTGCTCTTGAGAGAACAGCTCTTGTCAGAACTACGGTTTGCCCAGGGTCATCCAGCCAGGTGCAAGTGGAGGAGTGGGGAATCAAACCCGGTTCTCCCAGGTTAGAGTCCGCGCACTTAACCACTACACTAAACTGGCTCTCCTACACTAAACTGGCTCTCATTAGCCCTTTCAGGGTAGAAGACTGCAGTCGGACAGCCAATACCTTACAGCAATTAGCATTACCCAAGGATTTAAGTGTCGCCTTATTATGGAGCAGTACAATGCAAAAGCTTTTTTAAAAAACCAAGTATAGTATTCTGCTATTCTTGAGCAGTGCTATGCATGCACCAGTGAAATGTGTTTTTTGGGGGGGTTGATTTTAACGGTTCTAAAACGTGGTTTTTATCGTGTGTGTTTTAAATTGCTAGCCACCTTGGTGGCCCTTGTAAGGGCAGAAAAGGCGAGATACCCGTTTTTTTCCAATAAAATACAAATAAATAAATAAGCTGACCCTTTGTAAGAGTTATGTTACGATGTCATTAGAAGCTGTGATGCTGTGGTATTCCTTTGTACGCTTATAGCAAAAAAGAAAAACAAGTAAGAGGCCGGGGGCAGACTCAGACTGGTTGGCCAATAGGGGCCCTGCATTATTTGGGGCTCTTTTTTTGTGGGTGATGGTTTCTGATGAACAAAAGACATCAGAACATCCGGATTCTCTTCCTGCATAGACAGTCTCCACTTCCTGTGTTGCTTCTCCCTTCAGGAGTGGTATAAGGAGCTGACGGCACTCCTTGAAGACATGAAGGATAAGTCTGGGAATCTGAAAAGGCGGTGCCCGGACCGCAAGACAGAAGCCGGGGCTGCCTACAGTCGAGTGAAGGCTGTGTATGGGACGGTGGACGAGCTTGCTAAGCTGAAGAGCATGCAGGAGGTGACCCAGCACCTCGGGACGGTGAAACGGATCTCTGCACAGACGGCAAGTGAAAAACTGGCTGGGCCTGAGTGGGTTTGTTGGGTATCGTTTGGCACAAGGGGCAGTGGAGCCAGTGCAGATTCTGGAAACGAAATGAGTTGTGCCAGAACAGCACTTCTTGGTGGGTGGCATGTGGTGGGGGTTTTTTTGGCCAAACACATAGCTCTGGGAAGGGTAACGAATCTCCTGGGAGAGTTTGGAAATGGTACAGGATTAGAAGGCCTGCTTCATTACATTTAATTCATACTGTTTCACGTTCTTTTGTACTGACTAATCTCCAAGAATGGAAACTTAGGACGACTTAGCTGCACGAAGTCAAGGCAGGTTGACGGCAGCCCCATGTCTTCGGCCTGGGGAGCATTGGTGGGGGGGCGGCGGCAGGAGGGACAACACGGTCAGCTGGATCTGAAGCTTGTTTTTGCTCTCCTCCTTGGCAGAGCTTCATTAAAGAGTGAAAAATTTAGTCCCTAATTCGCCCTGTTGGGCAAGCATTGGCCAATCAGGAGCAGTGTTCCCTCTAAGCTGACATAGTGTGAGCTAGCTCACAGTTTTTTAGCCTCTGGCTCACTCATTTCTGTCTCAGCTCAGGAAGGATGGGGCTCCAGGACAAACTAATTGATGCAGCAGCCAAATCGCTCGCTCACAACTTTAGTGCCGGTAGGTCACAGAGTAGAATTTTTGCTCACAGGACTCCACACCTTAGAGGGAGCATTGCAGTATTCCCTCTAAGCTGGGTTAGTGTGAGCTAGCTCACAGTTTTTTAGCCTCTGGCTCACTCATTTCTGTCTCAGCTCAGGAAGGATGGGGCTCCAGAGCAAACTAATTTATGCAACAGCCAAATCGCTTGCTCACAGCTTTAATGCCAGTAGCTCACAGAGTAGCATTTTTGCTCACAAGACTCCACAGCTTAGAGGGAGCATTGGTCAGGAGTGGACACAGACTCCGTGATTTGACAAGAGTCAATTAAATTGGCTTACTTGGCACAATACGAACAAGAAGCAAGTAGAAGAAACACATTTACAAAACATAATACAGGAAGAAGGACCAGTATGAAGCAAGCACCCTGAAAAGGAATGAAGACAGATATCAGTCAGAGTTAGGGGTGTGCAAAAAAAAGTCGGTATTTTTTGGCTTTGGGTATTATCAGACCCGAAAAATATCTGTAAATTGCCAAATTTCCCTTGTCCGATACTGGTAAAGTATCAGGACTGAGGAAATATTCGGTGTTGCCAAATATATTCGGGTCTCTGATATATCCAACGGGAGGGAAGGGAGGCATGTTAAAATGCCTTCTTTCCCTCCCAAAGCCCCTGCAGTTTCCCGGCTCAATTTCACTCCCTGCCAGTCAGCTGTTGGGTTTAAGCCATTTAAATCTAACAGCAAACAGGCCAGGTGAGTGAAACTGACCAGGGAAAGCCTCCTGTCTCTGGAGAAGAGAAGGCATAGAAACATGCCCCCTTCCTTCCCTTAGTCTCTCCACTGCGGAGAGACTCAGGGAGGGAAGGGAAAGTCAGCACAGGCATGTTTAAATGCCTTTCAGTCCCTCCTCGAGTTCAGGGAGGGAAGGGCAGGCATTTAAATATGTCTGCGCTATCTCGGGCCGCTGGAGAAGGGCAGGCAGGGAGAGGAGGCTTTCCCTAGCCAGTTTCACTCCCACAAGCCTGTCAGTTGTTCCCTTTAAATGGCTTAAACCTAACAGCTGACTGGCAGGGAGTGAAATTGACTAGGGAAGCCAGGGGGGCGCATTCGGCTACCCGAAAGCCGAAAAAGCTGAATAAATTCGGGAAACTATTCAGTTGCCGAAAAGTTTCTTGAATATGCATTCAGTTTAGGAATACCGAATAAACACCGACAAGGCATTTATTTAAAATGTTTGTGAATTCGGGGAAGCTGAATGCACACCCCTAAGTCAGAGTCTAGTGACAGCCTGACCTCTCTGTACCTGCAGGCTTCCTTTACAAAGTTTATAGTTTTTAATCTGAAGTAACAAAAGCTATGCTTTGAACTGAAGATACTCGACCTGTCTTTCAGCCTAGCTGTGTGATACTTGTGGAAGCCCCCCCCCCCCCCCCCCCGCCCTTTTTTCCCCGCCGGGGGTGTTATTTTTGGCGCCCCCCCCCCCCCCCCCGGCAGCATTTTATTTTTAAAAATTATGCCAGGGGTGGGGAGTACTATAGTGAGACACCTTTATGGGGGGGTGTTTCTGTACTTCTGTCGTCATTGGTCCATCCAAAACATGGCCGCTGATATGAGGCTGACTGTTAAATTGCAGTCTTCACATCCCTGCACATCATCTCTGCATTCCT